GTGTTGTTTACATTGTTTCTGAAATCTCTCAAATATCTGAAAGAAGAAGCTTTCTGAGAGATCACTCAGATATGTTGATATCGCGCTTTGAATGTCTCAAAATGGACTAATATCGTCTTGCCCTTGTACAAAGAAGAGGAAGTATTGTAATCAAAAAGCATTTCGGATATCATATTTCAACGGTAATGCCCATTTTGACGATTCCTGACACATTTTAACTACTTCTTTTGCGTGATGTCTGTACCTACAAAGAGAATAAGGACTCTTTTTTTTTTTTTTTTTTCCAAAGCGAATTGTACAATTGATTAAAAACGGATTTTTTTTCTGACTGACAAATACATGGTATCTTGCTAACTCAAAAAAAAAAAAAAAAGATTAGACGTAGAGCATTGAAATTTTGTGCATGGACTTGCTTTAACACCTAGTTGTGCACCTCCCTTTATTGCAATTGCACACCAAAAGTGTAATAACTCTCTCTCATATATATATATATATATATATATACTGTATGCATTAGCTTTCAAAAAAGCAAAAATTAGCTTTCAAAATTTACGAAACTTTTCAAATGTGTATAATGTGTGAAATATGTACTTTTCAAATGTGTCGAGTTTTAATCAATAAAGTTTCTCTGAATATATTTGCACAACTCTAAATATAATTCACAGAACCATAAAGACAGTCAGTCAACTTATCATATCATCATAATTGCACAGTAGAATAACACAGACGCCGAAGATTTCAAATACAGCTTTTATTCACAAATTTTTAGTTTTTCTAATGTTCTAAATGAGATATAGAAGAGCGAAAATAAGCACTTTTTATTTTAAAGTTTCGAATAATTTTTGAACGGAAATTTTTCATCTACTTTAACATTTTTTAGCTTCTAAATTTCTATAATATTTTGTGTACACTATTGCTTATGTAATTAAATTTTGTAAAAACGTAAAATCGGCTCAAGTCCTAAAACTAATTAAATGATTAAATGTATGCTATTAATTATTAAATTTTACTTACTCGAGTGGATGCTTTTAATTATTGCATGTGTACTCCCAAGATGAGAATGTGCACCCCCAATATCCATGTTGTCTTGGTCATAAGGGATTGAATGCATACAGCTCCAATGATAGGTTAATAAGATTTATTTTATCAAATGAAACACATCAGAGATTAGGAACTTTCCACAAAAATAGTCGTACAACTCCTCACAATATCACAGATCACAATCAGTAGTTACACTTCAAACTACTATGAACGTTAAACACAACTCAATACAAAGTGCAGCTAAACAGGAAGCCACCCGGAGATATCTCATTACTTTGATGCTCTCTCTGACCTTGTATACTTTTCACCCGGCCGACGAAATATTTCTAGTATTTTCTGCTTCTCGAAATCACTGGAATGAGGGCAGAATTACAGTTACAGCTACTGTACTTATCAATTACCTTTTTTCCAATTACAATACCTCTAACGGTGATACAGGGACTGCATCAAAATTTTGCCAAATGGTTGCGACGTTTAGCGGTTTCTTGCCAAATTCGGCGACAAAAATTAGTCACCAAAACCGTTACCAGCTTGGCGATGTCTCACCAACTTACCGAGATACCAAGATTTACTCAATGTTAAATAGACTTGCCTCTGTATTCCTACTTTTCCGGCATAGCTTGTCTCTTAAGATTTTTCTCGTTACATTACATAAAAAAATGCAAGTTCACATGCCATCTATGTACAAAATTCATAACAATATATATATATATACACCCTTACTAAATTACCGTCCTTTATTTTCACAAACGTTGTTCGTAGTCATATACTTCCAATTATAGAAGTGTTTTAAATTGCAAAAATATTTATTTTTTGACAATTTTAAATTTGGAATAAAATTGATTTTGGACATAATAACAAAATCTGACTTTTAATGCAACCTCTCGGTATCAATACTTATATTTGGGAAAGTTTTATATTCGTTATGAAAAAATAAAATTATAAGAAGTTTAACACCCACATGACCTAAATGGACCGGGATATTTAATTTCAAAATTTGCAATTTTTGATGTCATTTTCAATTTGCCTCGTTCGAATAATTCGAGGAAATAAGTGTGTATAAAACGCAGCAGTACAATTGAATAGGTCTACAAGGAAGTCATGTGGTATCCATATCAGATTTGTTACTTGTTTATCAGAACCTGGACTGGTATTCTGTGATGCAGGAATTGCTGTGCGTTAATATAAATTTGAATCCTGCCACTAATTTTTTTTTTTACAAATTGTTTTACAGTTTCTTACACCAGACCAGTCATCATTCTTGGACCACTGAAAGACAGAATAAATGATGATCTCATATCAGAGTACCCTGAAAAATTCGGAAGCTGTGTGCCACGTAAGTCTTATTTTTATTAATTAAAATACATCGAGTAGAATAACGAAGGCCTATAAGTAAGATAAATCTAAGTTGATTAAAGATAAATCCTTAAAGACAAATCGAAGTTGTATTTTGCCAGTTTTAAAAAATATTAAGTCAATTTAATTCTCTCATACCTATTAATATTGATACGTAAGTCAAATTATCTTTATTAATTAGAATACATTGAGTATAATAATGAAGGCCTACAAATAAGATAAATCTAAGTTGAGTTAAGATGAATCCTTAAAGATAAGTCTAAGTTGAATTTTGCCAGTTTTTAAAAATACATAAGTTGGTTTAATTCTCTCATACCCATTAATATTGATACGTAAGTCAAATTATCTTTATTAATTAGTATACATCGAGTATAATAATGAAGGCCTATAAATAAGATAAATCTAAGTTAATTAAAGATAAATCTAAGCTAATTAAAGATAAATCCTTAAAGACAAATCGAAGATGAATTTTGCCAGTTTTAAAAAATATTAAGTTCAATTTAATTCTCTCATACCTATTAATATTGATACGTAAGTCAAATTATCTTTATTAATTAGAATACATTGAATATAATAATGAAGGCCTACAAATAAGATAAATCTAAGTTGATTAAAGATGAATCCTTAAAGATAAGTCTAAGCTGAATTTTGCCAGTTTTTAAAAATACCCAAGTTCGTTTAATTCTCTCATACCCATTAACAGTGAATTATAAAGAACCTTGTATTGTCAAAATTGACAGTGGAAATTGACAGTTGAGTGACAGTGATTGACAGTTGATTGGCAATGAAATTTGATTAAAGATAAATCTAAGTTGAATTTTACTAGTTTTTAAAAATACTAAGTTAGTTAAATTCTCTCATATCTATTAAATTGAATTATAAAGAACCTGATATTGTCAAAATTGACAGTTGATTGACAGTGAAAGTTGATTAAAGCTAAATCCAAGTTGAATTTTGCCAGTTTTTAAAAATACCAAGTTGGTTTAATTCTCTCATACCCATTAACTTTAAATAATAAGAACCTGATATTGTCAAAATTGACAGTGGAAATTGACAGTTGAGTAACAGTGATTGACAGTTAATTTGGCAATGAAAGTTGACTAAAGATGAATCCAAGTTGAATTTTGCCAGTTTTTAAAAATACTTAGTTAAATTCTCTCATACCCATTAACAGTGAATTATAAAGAACCTGATATTGTCAAAATTGTAAAGGCATCTGGTATTAAATGGCTAAGCCATATTTACAGGAGATGGGAGACCATCAATAGAGAAGTTATACCATCATTTCTACTTTTAGCTTTTGTACCATCCGATATAAGCAGTATTTATTTGAAATAAAATTTTACACAGTTACAATGGTTGTACAAATATACAAATGACATACAGAAGCATATTATTCAGGTCTTGTGGTGTTTAAATAGGTGCCGATGTTTACGACAAAGCCCATAGCATAGTATTTAGAGAATTATTACATATGTTGAAAATTTGTGTTTACAGATTTTTCTATGTAATTTTGAAGAATAACCAGATTATATAATATAAAATATCATTATAGATTTTAAAGAATTTAGACATATATAATTTAGAAATAATTAAGCCAAATCAAAAAAGAATAAGGAGAACACTAAATATAGAATAAACATTAAATAAGTTTACAAAAATGTAAAATGTAGACTACGTATAAATATTGCAGATTATTTGGGATTATGAACAATTTAATTGGGTATGGTCCATAAAAACAACTCTCAGGTATGTACTATGATAGCATCCACCATTATTGCTGGTATCTCACAGATTTTTCTTTACCTTTCTGTATTTTTCATAGACAGTTCTGTTTTATGCTGATGGTTCATGAAGTAATGTTCCCATCATTCTACAATAAATAAACTTTTTTTTTGAGGACCCAGTTAAATTTCCCTCATCCTCTGGTTAATAAAGAATTGACTGGACTCTAATGTATAGAAGATACTTTCATTTAATGATTTTTAGTTGCTGTGAAATTTCTATGCGTAGTTCCATATATTAGCTGAAATAAGTATATGCTTCAAAAAAATTTTAACTCTGATCTCGTACACATTTTATCAAAATCAAACTAAAAATATTAACCACCAAACTTTTATATAGTATTTTATATGAACTATCCAAATGATTTGTTTAGTAGATGTACATCACTGTTCATAACAGAAGCCTCTGCATAACAGTCAGTACATTAAAGAAATCTTTAGATTTCATTGTTGTTCCTTTCCAAATGTTAATCGAGAGGAACACTGCATTTTATACATAACTTTATAGAGGCATTAGGTATTTTGGAAGCAGGAAAAATGAAAAATATGCAACTGCCTTCGCCGGAAATCGAACCGCGGACCTCTGGAATACGCGCCCAGCATGCAGACCAAAATACCTATGTTAGAATAATTGCTACATATATTAATATACATCTTAAGTCACACTTTCAAGACATAAAAAACGCAGTTTAAATTTCGTCAATTTGCCCAGTAGAACGGGAGATATAGAACTGTCTCCCCCCCCCCGCAGTGTACATTATATGTGCTGTTCACATATTTTCAAAGCTCTTATGTAATATTTGCTTGTAACATTCATAGTAGTCACTTGTGTTATTCACTTATTTACGGTCCACTTTGTTAAATATCTGAAAATTAGGTGTTTTAATCTTTTATAACTTAAACTGACTCATGGTGCCGTACAAAAAACTCAAAAAAAATATAATCATCATAACATTTATATATCATATCGGACAATCGTATAGTGGTAGTACAAATTAAATTTTAGGTTCGCGTTGTGAGTAATCTATGCAAAAGGAAAAATCAATAACACCAAATTCAATTAAAGCCTCCATGTTTCTTAAAAGAAGCCTCCCGGCTCAAACAAATGGAGGGACATGATAGACCAGAGTAAATTACACACAAAATTAACAAGTGCAATTAAAACTATAAATCAAATACATTTATTAAATTCTTGAATATAATAATATTATTAGTAAATACTTGGGTAACTTGGGGGTATAAATCAAACACATTTATTAAATTCTTGAATATAATAATATTATTAGTAAATACTTGGGTAACTGATCAGTATCCCCTACCACATATTTTTACTATGAAAATATCGCATCTGTCACACAAAATTTCAGCTTACAATAATTAAAACATTTAATTAATAATTAACATTTTTTCACAAATTAAGAAGGTGTAACATATTTTAATTCTCCAAAATAACTGGTCATTCCTTTAAAATTTCTAATCACTTCTTAATATTACCAGCTAGCAATATTTAATTTATGCAATTTTTTTTTTTTTTTTTTTTTTTTTTTTTTTTTAAACCAAAACACTTTCAGAAGCGTCCGTTGATTTCCGGAATCACAGGTGTAGTACATTAAAGACAAATTCTTCAATCAGCCAGGAACCGCCTTAAATATGTTCATTAAGTGAGAGACAATTTCCGAACAGAAAGATCTTTAGTGCCCAATCCAATCCACTGGGAAATGAGCAATGACCATTTTTTTTTTTTTTCCTTCTGTCAAAACACTTTTGGAAGCGTTCCATTGATTTCAGGAACAAGGGAGTGCATGATACCTCCATCTGGAACAAATCTCGGTCTCTTGACAAATTCCTTCAACTGGAAGGTCTCAAACATGACTATTGAAGTTCTCAAAAATACACGATGAAACGGCAAAACTATATTTTGCGTAGAGCACTTTCGGCACAAACTTCTAGCTGTAAGAAATCTCTTTTGTCTATGACGAAAGAATTCTAAACTGGAAAGCCTCTAACATGATTATTCAAAAGATCTCAAAATACATGATGAAACGGTGAAATTAAATTTTGCATAGAGCGCTTTCTCCGTTCGAACAAATTCTCATCAGCGGAAAGCCACGAGAAACCTCACCTCAGACCACAGGCGCAAGCCCCCCGCAGGAGGACAAGCCCCACTGAATCTCTTTTCTGCTTTACATCTTCGCAACTCAAATCTGTTTCCAAATCTGGCTCAATAGCCGGCACTCGCGAGAGCAAGACCCTCAAGTGATCTTGAGTGATCTTGATCAAGTGACCTCCACTCTTTTCTCCTCTTCCTTTTAGCTCAAAATCAGAAATCTGAACGAACTCTAGCCTGGTGCAAGCACCAAAGTAAACTCTCCTCTATGCCCCCCCCCCAAAATTTCATTGGCTTACAATAAATTATTAAATTTAAAATCACACCAATGACAGAATTTTACTTTATCTAAACTGAGAAAATTACACCACAACGAATCAAAAACAAGAAAATCTGATAATGAAGCCAACATCTGTACTCAGAAAAAACGTGGGAACTAAAGTGGACCCCCCCCCCCAACTAACAAGCGGAAACTAATCTTTACGAGAATCCAATTACCTAAGCTTGCAACAACCCCCACTGTCTGTAGTAAACAAAATTGCAACTAAGCAAGACGATTTTCATTACAAACACGATTAGTAAAAGGCGACAACACAACAACCTACTGCCTCCACTGTTAATAAAAAGGCCATAAACTAATAAACCAGATGTTTCCTCGCAACCATCTCTCGCCTTTGTTACACTTTCTACTCAAGAATAACGAGTTAAATAAAGCTTTAACAACTTAAGAAACTCTTTTTACCGGATTAAAATATACATGAATACAAATAGAAATACCAGAATAATGATAACTTAAAACACGTATTAATATAATTAAAATTCGCAACATAACAGCTTACAATTCTATTATGTATAGTCTGCCTGATAACTGAAGGTGATGCAGAGAAGTACAAATCAGTGTGTAGAGTTGGAAATTTATGCGTCCATTCAAAAATATGTGCGATTCACTTATAACACAGAGCACCATTTAATGATTTGTTTTGTTTTGCATTTTACATTTATGACTGTAAGCAAACTGGATATTTACTCGTTAAAATTCTCCAGATACGACACGGCCGAAACGAGACTATGAGGTAGATGGAAGAGATTATCATTTTGTGGCATCCAGAGAGCAGATGGAACGAGATATCCAGAACCACTTATTCATCGAGGCTGGGCAGTACAATGATAACTTATATGGCACCAGTGTGGCTTCAGTGAGAGAGGTCGCTGAAAAGGTAAAACTAGTTTATTTTATCTGGAATCATAGACTCAAGTATTTTAGTCCTCCAGTAGATATATATATGCAGTAAAAGTTTTCTGTTTTGAAGAATTATGAGAAAAGTACGAGCTCATAATTAAAATGTTTAATGGTGCTAATTGCAACATTATTAATGAATAATGCTCATATTACAGTTTGCATATCTGCAAGCTGTTTGATAAATAAGTGAACATTGTAATTTCACAGGTTTATTTTTATTTAACATATTCTCCATGGTTGTTGATAGATACAGGACCCATACATGCCAGTTCTTTTTCTACAGAACTCTTCGAGCGGATTATAAAACTGTTAAAGAAAACATATCTTGTACTTTCATTGTCAGGTGTAAAATGTACCTTTCTATTTATCTTCATTAGGACAGAACATGAGAAAATCTCGGGGTGAAGACAATAGGTGGGATACATATCTTGTACTTTGACGTCTGGTGTAAAATGCTTCCATTTATCTTCATTAGGATGAAGCATGAGAAAATCTCGGGGTGAAGATCTAGGTGGGATAACAGAGTCCAGCTCAATTGTCAAATTTCTGACAAAGTCTATACATGGCCTTCCATTTCTCAAAAAAAAGCAATGTCCAGAAACAACATTCTGCATAGATTGTTCTCAGTCTTCATGTTAAAACGTTCAATGGATTTGCAACAGCAATTGGCATTTTTCACCAACCAATCGAGTAAATGAGATGATCAAAGAAGTCAGTCAAGTTTCCAACAAATCTGAAGCATGAATGCATCAAGTGATGAAGGAATTATTGCTGCACTTTTTAACATTTAAGGGTCAAATCTGCAAATAAAACAGATAATTAAACACTAATTCAATTAAATACTAATAATTAACAAGATAATTAATAATAAGGAAGACCGGTGTGCAGTGGCTAGTGCATCATGCAGCTGCACCACAGGTCCGGGGTTCGATCCCCAGGCTGGGCAAAGTTGACTCAGCCTTTCATCCCTTGTATGGGTCGATAAAATGAGTACAAAGTTCACTTGGGGACTAAGCACCGGGGGGTTCTGCTACAAGTTGACCACTTGCCCAGGGCATATGCTGATGTACTCTGCAGCAAAAGGTCAAGAAAGCAGATTTTGGAGCACTGTACACCGTGGCCTACTAGGGCTGTTGCGCCACTGAGTTTTTAGTTAATTAATAAGATGATTAAATGTAATTCAATATTAATGTAACATCTGCATTAATCTAGCATATCAATAAACACAAGTGGTTTTTTTTCTTAGTTCTACATCTACCAAAATCACATGCCAAGTCCACTTATCAAACAACCCTTATAAATGTCAGCTGATTCCTTTTTACAGCCATAAATGCTATAAGTAAATTATCTTAAACCCTTTAAATTTAGAACTAAATCATGTGTTTCTTCAAAGTGAAACCTCTGATTATCATATAAGGCATAAAGCAAGATAACAAAACAGAAGCTGGTGTAACCAGCATTGTGGTACTGTGCAGCAGAATTGAGGAAAGTCATATTTTTAGAATTCAGAGAAACATCGTGCCCCAAAATTTAGGGTTGGGAAAATTTTTACAATTAAGGAAAGCACCAAGCATCAGAATTTAGGACCCATATCGGCCACAAACACAGTGAGCAGCAAAAACCTAATACTGGGCCTGATACGCTTGGCACTGCAGCATTTTAAGCAAAAAATTAAATACACAACATCTCGACGTATAAAAATTACAGCACAGCACCATGGAGCTTCCACAACCATAAAGCCTGTGACACCAGCTACAAGTATGGTGAACCAATAATGGTTATTTGTTATTATTTAGCATTTATTCAGGTTTCTAAATTATGTTTCTAGCAAAGATTCTTGTTAGAAACATTCCTTGGCACAGAAGTGTTTCTAGGCAAATGTCAGTCTGTTTAAAATATAAAAGCCAAACGTTTGTTTCATGTACCCTTTTTCCCCCCTTTAGGGCAAACATTGTATTTTAGATGTAAGTGGAAATGCCATAAAGCGACTCCAGATGGCAAATTTACATCCCATAGCTATATTCATAAAGCCAAAGTCCGTAGAATCAATCATGTAAGTATACTCTTTTATTTAGTCTACTACACAGGGTTACTACAAATGATTTATTGAGGTTCAGAATGCTACATGCAAATGTAAAAATTAGCACTGTGTAATACAGGAAGTATAAACAAGTATTTTTTAAGCGGTCTTGGAAATCGTGTACTGTTGTTTGCACTGGAACATATAACAGAATGTTTAGCAAATTCCTAAAGGATCCATAAGGTCACCTGATGGACCTAGATTGCCATCTGTTCAATCATTTTATTCTGTGGTAGAAACCAGTGTCTTTGAAGTGTCCATACTCTCTCAACTGTTCGTTGTTGTTGACTAATGCTCACTTGTCTGACCTATAGTCAGCCCAAGCGAAGGAAATTCCTCGTGCCAAGGTGCACAAGATTGCGCCTGTCGTTGGCAACAGCTTTGAGCACCTTACAGGTGACGGTGCGATTTAGCTCGATTCTGCCCCCAATTTTGATGAAGAGCACCCCAGGGTGGTACAGGTCTGAGGGTCTCCTACCCCTCTTTTCCCATCACTAACCTTTCAAGAGGACTTTTAACTCGCCGCATATTTAGTGCCCCCATGCCCGCACCAGCACTATACATTTACAAACATCCATGCCTTCTCCGGGACTCGAACCCGGGCCCTTCGGCACGGCAGTCAGTGATGATAACCATTATACCAGTTGGGCGGCACTCTCTTAACTGAATATTATTAATGCTATAGTGTTTTTGTGGATTTATATCACATTGTTTTCGAAAGCTATGTTTCACAATAACAATGGATAAGCACTTTGTGTATTCTAAAACATTTTCTGTTGTAAACATTTCATTTTTTCCATGTTGCCAGGAATGTTTGTCTCAGGTAGCAATATACCTTTCCTATCATTGAGGAACAGCCTCATCTTCCTGCAATATGAAATTACCATCTTTCATTAGAGAAAATACCTACAAAGGTATCAAGATAACATGTACCTATCAGAGTGTATGTGTGAAAATGGAGAAAAGAGAGACTAAACATATTGTCTGCGAAATGGTACACCTTGGTATCCACCAAGACAATGTGAGTATGGTATCACCAAGATAGAGTGAATCTCAGTCTGGTGTCCATTAAGACACCAACTTTACACTGTCTTCAAACCGACTTTGCAGAGTAAGACAAAACATTTTGTTGCAAACTCTTCATTTTTAAAATGAAATTCATATCTGATACATGCTGAGTCACATAAAAGTTTGTAAATGCAAATATGAAAATATATTTTCTTTTATTACATGAATACCATGAATTCATGTGTGTGTCCATAACTTGGAAATCATAGGGTTTCAAAGCCTGGTGAATCATTTGTATTGACCCTGTACATTTAAACATGAATTTATGTTTATTAGAATGTTTCAATTCCCTATGAAGATAGTGCATGTAATATAATCATAAATATTTTATTTGAAAATGGAGAATCACTTTACAGAAAATAAATGAGCGAAAAATATTTATAAAATACATTGATTCAATGTCCCATCCCCTCTATGCTTAAAAAAAGATCTAGTTTTAATCATACAATTTATTTGATGCCAATACTATTTCATTTATAGTTAGTTATATTATTCTATTCTTTTATCATTTCTATTTTCCTTTTTAGATTTGGCTGTCTATCCCCTTTTTTTAATTTTGAGAACTGTTCAAATTATTGTACATTTATAATTTACATATTAAATCTATCATTTTTCAGAAGTTTTTTTAACTTGTGCAGTTTTTTTTTTTTTTTTTTTTTTTTTTTTTTTAATTATATGAAATGTATTTCAGTAAACATTTTACTAATATTCTTAAATTCAAGTTTCCTGATGACTTAAAACACTATTCTTACATATTATTTAATGTCTTTACATTCAAATTTAGGTATTTTTAAGGAAAAAAATGAAAAAGTATTCCTCTATTTAAATATTTGAGTTTAAAAACACATGAAATATTTTTATCTTTCTAAAAACGCATCCTGTATTTCAGGGAGCTGAACAAAAGGATAACGGAAGAACAAGCACGTAAGACTTTTGAACGATCTGCAAAATTGGAACAAGAATTTGCCGAGTATTTCACAGGTAATTTTTCTTTAGATTAGTACTTGCATAACTTATAAGTATAAGATGACTTCATAACAATATAATCAGTTTTAACTAATAACAACTTAGTAATATCCCCTGTGTGATTCTTAAGAAAGGGAAAAATATGTCTCTGTATCAAAATGATTGTGCAATTTATATTAAATATAAAATTACTATAATAATATTAATAGTATAAATTATTTATATTAAAATGACTGCTTATTTTTTAAAAAATATATAATGTTTTTCTCTACTCCATCGCAATTTCAAAGCGTAAGTATATTTTATTATGTACAATACAACTATATGAATGTAGTAAGTATATATTTAACTTTTATTATATATATATATTAGATGTTATTTAATCTTTTAAATTATTTATTGCTTCATGGACTACACTAATGCATTCTTTGGTACAAGTAATGAATTTCAGGAGTGTATTTTAAGATGAAAGCACTGCCTTTTTCATGACTTTCTATCGTGCAATTCAGGTTTTATAGTACTTTAAAAAAAAAAAAAAAAAAACTTATATTGAAATTTAATTTTCTGCATCATTGCCAGTGACCCCTTTTCATTGCAGCACCAATTCTTTTTAATGAAGTGTGTTTGCAAAGCGGGGCCTTCCTGATTTTTTCCAAATTTCTTCATGTCTTTTAGCTGGTTCTCCTCTGTCATAGCAGCAACATTTTGGCTCACTGCCTTATCCTAGAAATATTTTTTGCAGACAGATTGTGCTTCTACCTAGCTACTATTAAATGATTAGTTCTTAGGTCAAGTGCTTTTTTACCAAACGCTTAGGTCTTTCATTTTTAAAGTTTCTTGAAAGCTTCTGTAAAATCACATTTCTCTTTTTAGACCTTAAGACTGCATTTCTTCTCCAAACCTGTCTTAAAAATGAAAATAAATTTATATATAGTATTAAAATTCTATTTTATAAAAACTAACATATTTGAAACCACGCTTCTCACTTCTATCTTCTTAATCTTATACAAATTGGACAATCATTTTGTTATGGAGAGAGTACAATCAAAAAGATATCTTAGAAATAAATTATCAGAAAATATTATGCGGATTTTATCAACAGAAAAAGTGAATTATACTACTTTCCTAAAAAAAATTTCACTTTATTAATTTTGATATGTTTCATAAATTCTTATCTGAACATGTACTCTGAAAGTTGCTCACATCTGATTTCAAAAATGGATATTAATGGTACATTGGTTCAAAGAATGACACCTCAATACTGTTACAAGCAATATATCAATTGCAATTTAAGCTTTAAAAGCTAATGAAAAGTATTTTTTTTTTTTCCCTTTACCTTTCAAAACAGTTTCTTAAACCTATTATTATAGTGGTTATGAGATACGCTATAATAAAGATTTACGATAATAACATATTTGAATGTGTACATGTCAGAAAAGAAGTTATGCGTTTCCAACGGCAAAAAGTTTCTCAAAATAAGCGTATATAATTGTATGAGAACATTTTAGCATTAAGAATATCAGTTTTAAAAATAAAATCAAACTTTTTATTATGATCTTTGTACAGTACGAAGATATATAGTCAAGTTTTCTGCTAGTAAGTTAAATGCAAAAAAAGTTAACATGCAACCTTAACCTTAATTTGACGAGATATGATCGATTAATAATTTCTTGGTACTAACTTTAAAAATTATAATTACTGCTGTTTTACTCATTACACTTTCATAATTCACTAAAGGATGATATTTTGTTTGGTAGTACCTTCCTGAGACATTTAAATAAAACATTCTCAGATAATGTGGGCTAAGGCCTTTTTTTTTCATTTATTCATTTTTTGTGTATTGGAGGGACTCGCATTTCTCTGTTTACTTCATTTAATGTAGCAACATGCTTAATTTTAGCAGAGTTGTGATGATAAATAGTGGTCAAAGGTACATACTGCTGGATTCATAGTTCAATCTAGGTTCGAACCAGGACAAATAGGCTGACTGCATGGAGACCACTTCAGAATGGTGCCGCACTTACACAAGTTGGTTGCTGCTCAAAAAGACAGAAGTCTTCAAAATGCGCCATGGTATCGGGTAGCATGCACAAACTGAATATCAGTTTCTTGCTTAAAACTGATCATCAGCCAATCTGGCATATCCATTAAGGTGTAAGTATACTTTATGCAAATCTGATTTTTGTTTCAGTTGCTAATCAATAATTAAGCAGGGGATGAAATAAATCTTCAGCACCTAGATGGAAAAAGCTGGATTAACATAAGGGTGCTGAAGTTTTTATCAATCAGGACAATTTTTCAGATTGTGCGTCTCGGTAGAGAACTCGGGTATTTCAATAAATTAAACTTCATCGAAACCAAAATGACAAACTACTGTACACATAAGGAGTGGAAAAGTGTATAGTTTTTTTTTTTTATTGTTTTTCTTCTTTTTCTTGTACTTGAATACAATTTACTAAGCTACTTTTATTAATTCAAGCAAAATCGCCATGTACATAAAATAACAAAGAAAATCAGGTAGGAAATTTAAACTATTAAATTAAATGTTTGAATAATTGACAGAATACTGAAGATTTAGTATAAGATATTTTTATTAAATATATTCATTCCAGATGGAAAAAAAAAAAGAAAAGAAAAATCAAGTAATTGTACATATACTTACAGAGACATACACATGGTGCGTGGAAATTACCTCCCTATTGAAAATTATCTATAACCTTTCAATATTTAACCAGTTTTCATGAAACAAAAGCATTTTGTTCCTTACAATGTAAGAAGTGTTATGAATTACTAAAACTCCACATATGCACCACCAGTATTCACTAGTTTTTCTTTCAACATTTAGGAATGTTTGGGTCAGACTTTTGCAGATACTCCTGCAATACATGTGCAAACAATTTGTTAATCCGCTTCTCTAATGCATCAAGAGTTTTTTTGTTTAGCATAATAAACAACTTCTTAAATCCATCTCGAGAGAAAAAGAAGCCACAGGTCAGGATTCCTTGCAGGCCATTCCAGGGGGCCCACAATGTTCCAGTCAAGCACGCACGGACAGGATGTGTGAAATGAGGCGTGGCCCCCATCTTTTATAAAGATTAGGTCATTGTATTTGCCCACATGGACATAATATCACGAACATAGTCTTCAAACATAGCAAGGTACCATTTTGCATTCATTTTGTCCTGAATAACATATGAATCTACACCTTTTGGGATGCTTCTGCCACATCACACTGTAATTGTTGAGCCAAAGCATTATGTCCTTTTACACTTCACCAGCATCTTTACACTTGTTCTGTAGACACCCATACTTCGCACCAAGATGCAAGCTCAGACCCCTCGTGCAAGGTTGGACGTTATGCCATGGTCTACCACCGATACCTGCAACAGCACAAAAGAAACATAATAAATTCCTACACTGTAAGGAATAAAATGTTTTTTTTTTTTTTTTTTTTTTTTTCAAGAAAAATGGTTAAGTATTAAAAAAATTATAAACAGATTTCATTAGGGAGTAAATTCATCCTCACCCTGTATATGTATATAAATCTCTTTCACTCCTTATGGGTGGTACAGTAATTTAACATTTCAGTAAAAATTTAATTTATTAAAATACCCTCATCCTTTTCCAACAAGCACAACCTGAAAATTGTTCTGATTGATGAAAACCTCGGCACCCCTATGCCAAACTGGCATTTTTCATCAAGGTGCCAAAGATTTATTTCATTCCCTGCTTGGTTAAGGGCTAATTGAAACAAAAATCAGACTTGCATAAAGGTCTTGCACCTTTATGTCTTCAGTCTGTGCATGCTCCCTTATGCTGGGGTACAGTTATGAAAATTTCTGTCTTTTTCAAATAGTAGCCGACTTTGACAAAGGTGTGGCACCATTATGAAACATGTCCCCCTCCCTTCTGGCCTGGTCCAGCCTAGTTCAATTTAGGAATTTAGCAGGCTGGGCAACAACTCTGTTAAACATGTTGTGCAATGGTATGTATATAGAAGTGGGACAACATTATCCCACTGTTGTGACTTTTCCCGTCTGGAATGTGAATATAATACACTTGTTCTTAAGAATTCTTTCCTAAAGAATCTCATGTATGCTGTCAGGTCCAAATAACCTAACCTGTGAAGATGATGCTCGTACACAGGAATGGATGAAAATGGACAACCTTAGAATGTATGCATGTGTAGGTGGAGATGTGTAATCTGAGGAAAATTATAGGTTTTTATGCGAATAAAGTATTGACCAGAAATGGATGTGTCTTTGTATTCCGTTACGTATTGTTATGAGATTGCAGCTGCAGTAAGATAGCTTCCCTGCAAGGCAGGTTTAGGGTTGCTAGAAAATGGCAAGGGAAGGCAAGGTTGCAATATTTGGAGCCCATTTGGCGACAAAATTAACGATATGCCATAGACTGATTCATACCGTTTTGGTCCAGAATGTTCTTGAAGGCAGCCCAAAAGCTATATGAACCCTACTGGTAGGCGGAGTTGTTAGAGTTCAGTTGATCATCGAGGCTGTTGAGCGTATCACTGAGTGCACCACAAGTTGTAGCGTGGAGAGTTTCGAGAATACGTCGAGTTCCGAGAACGACCGAACCAAGTCGGGAGCTGTACTTTGGCGTTTTGCCGTGAAGCTTTCTTCATCATCATAGCTTGAAGCCGGTGTTTGTCGCAGTTTTTCCACGACTGTAAACGTGTTTTTGAAGCTGTCCTGAATAATACTGGCTAATAAATTGTGCTTTCATTCTTAAAAATGTTTTCATTATTCAAAACACAATTTATTAGCCAGTATTATTCGGGACAGCTTAAAAACCACGTTTACTGTCATCCAAAAACTGCAACAAACACCGGCTTTAGGTTATAATGGTGAAGACAGCTTCGCGGCAAAGCACCGGAGTGCAGCTCCCGACTCTGTTCGGTTGTTCTCGGAACTCGATGTACTCTCAAGACTCTCCCCGCTACAACTCGTGATGAACTCGACGATAGACTCAACAGCCTCGATGATGTACACTCT